CAGTCATTTTACAATGTTGTGTCAAATTCCAGTGTAGAGCACAATTTTTTAGTTATACATGAACATACATATATTCACTGTCACATTTTTTTTTTGCTGTGAGCTACCACAGGATCTTGTATATATTTCCCTGTGCTATACAGTATAATCTTGTTTATCTATTCTACATATGCCTGTCAGTATCTACAAATTTTGAACTCCCTTCCCACCCCCTCTCGCCCTTCCCTTTCTTTCTTAATATCTAGTCATCACCAAATCTGTAGATTCCATCACCTTGGCATTCCTTGATTCTGAGTATCCTTCTCTTTCTTCAATGTCACCAGCCTAGTCCAGGTCACCATAATCTCTCATCTGGACCCTGGCAACGGTCTCTAATGTGTTCCATGTCAAATCCATTGCCCAAATGGCAGCCAGAGTGACCTTTTCAAGTACGAATGGCATGCTCTTTCTCTGGTTAGAATACTTTAATGGCTCCCCATTGCCCTCTTTATATCCAGGTCCACACTCCTTGGCCTGGTGTACATAAGACCCTTCTTCCCCTCCCCCGGTGCTGGAGTACATCACGCTCACACTGAGCTTTCTATTGTCTGCACACACTGCTTCCTCAACCTTCTCTCCCACTCCCAACGCCTTCTGCTGCCTTTGCCTGGCTGACTCCTCTCCATCTCCAGGTGTCACCTTTGGCGTCACTCTCCTTCACCTTCCTAGTTTGGGTCATGTGTCCCTTCTAGATGCTCCCATACAAATCCTACGGCACCCTATCAAGCGCACTGCATTGCAATTGCTTGTCTGATGGTCTCATTTGCTATGGACTGAGTTTCTTGAGGGCAGGAGCAGAATCTTGATCAACACTGCGTCCCCAGCCTCTAGCACATTGCCTGGCAAATAATAGTTATAAAAACAACAACAATTGTAATGGTGACCATTTACTAAGCATTTACCGCATGCCAGGTACCATGCTACAAGCCCTATATAGATAATCTCATCTAATCTTTGTGATGGTTGGAGGCCATCAGGAGTGAAGGACCTGGATGCTGGGAACACTGCAGGAAGACCAGTTTCAGGTGTCCTTTGAGGATTGGCTCAGCTCAGGAAAACTGCCTGGCCCAAGGTCACACCTCCTTCTAGGGGCAGTCTGCACCTAGTGACTAATCTACCCAGGGGCACAACAGCCTACCCTTTTGGCCCAACTCCAAGTAGGGCTAATGTGCTCTCCTGGCTCTAGAGTGCCCTCTGGGGTTGGCTGCTGCTTTCTTGGAACTGCCTCCCAGCTCATCTCCCTCTGCCTAGTCTTGTTTCCTGCTCTCCCTTTTTTTGGTGTTGCTCTTTTGAGAATTCCGTCATAAAATCCTGCTGGTTAACTTCTGTCTCACAATCTGCTTTCTGAGGAGCCAAACCTCGGACAATCCTCTCAACAGCGTGGTGGGTAGGTGTTACTAAGATTCTGCCTTTGCAGGTGAAGCAATTAAAATTTAGGGACGCTAGGTAACTTGCTCAGTGTCACAAAGCTCGTGACTTGTAGAGGTGGGATTTGAATTCAGGCGATTGATTCCAGAGCCCACACTTTTAACCATGCACTCAATAAATACAAGAAGTGAATCCTTGGCTTAGTCCCATTAGTCACCAAGGGAGAAAAAATGCTAAAGTTATAGTTCAGAAACAAAGCTTTGTGCACATACATTTGTCAAGGCTGAGGAAACCAGGGCAGCAGCAGATGGCTGTGGGAAATCAGAGTTCGCCCTGTCAGTGGGGTGGACGGTCCTGGCTGACTCATAGCACAGGTCACAGAGAGGGGACTCAAGCCCAGTTATCACGGTGAGTTCTAAATGGAAATGTCGTCTGAAAGATCTCAGTGTCTGGATAATTTAATCCATTTCTAATGGCACAGAAGAACAGCCAGTTCTCCCCGATCTGTGCAAAATGCTGATCATCCCAGGTTGTTTTTGTTTGTCTTGGGATGTGATCAAGGATCAACACATGCAGCTGTGCACAGCTTCACCAGCCAGTGCCTCCCAAGGGGGCCCTTCCACGATGGGCAGCAGAGACAAGGGGAGGCCAGGGCCACCTGGGTGGAAGCTCTGGCCGCTCTCGAATGTCCTGATGGTCAAGTTCACTGGGAGAGAGGGGCCACAGACCACAGGTGGTAGAGCAGAGAGAGGAATAGGAGATGCCTGGTCTGGTTATGCAGCGGAGACCTCTGTGATAAA